GCTCTGTCCCAGACATGCTGTGTGACGTGGGGAAAGGACCCTCCCCTCTCTGAGCTTCAGTCCTTCCTGTGTCCAGGAAAGGCTTCATGATCATTTCCAACAGCCCTCAAGGGTGGTGTGGAGGCAGGACAAGTAGACAGCTGAAACCTGGGGAAGGTGCAGAGAGAAAAGCTGCTGGAGCGGGAAGAGGGGCAAGTAGCTGGGGAATCCTGAAGTCCACATCCCAGAGATCTGCTGGCTCTACTCTCACCCAGCATCTCTGGCGGCTCCTGGGTCCCACAAGGGAAAATCCAGAGCCTTCACCCACTCACTTTCCTCTGCAGCCACCCCCACTTCATGCCTCCAACTCACCCAGTACTAACCCCACGGGGCCACTGGCTTGTTCCAATCGGCTTCTGTCGCCCCCAATTGGAATACTCTTTTCCCTTTATTCCTGACAAACTCCTACACATCCCTCAAAACTCAGCCCCTCTGAGCCTCCTCTAGGAATTCTTCCCTGCCCTTCCTAGCCAACGGGGACTGCCCCTTGTTCTGGGTGCCCACAGCACCCCAGCCATGCCTTCATCACAGCTCCAGGACCAGCGAGGGTGCGCACAAATAAGCATCCAGTAAAAGCAGGTGATTGAAAGGAACTAAGACCCCCTTCTAGAAGCATCGGCAATCAACCCGGTACTGAGTTTATCTGCAGCTTCCGCCAACCCCCTGGGCCTTCCCCTCCCTGACACTTCTCCTTCTCCATCTTGCAAAAAATAGCCCTGAGACCTAATTTCAGCTAAACCTTCAAACACGATTCTCCACTTTCAACTTCCCGAGGAGGAATCAATTGGCTGTCAAGTTTCCCAGAGCCTCTGCCACCTCCCACACCCCAGGCCTGCCAGCTCTCCTCAAGGTCGATGGGAGGGGGTGGGGGCAGAGGAGGGAGAGGGGAAGGACCCAGCCTACACCAGGGGCGGTTGGGTCTGGGGAAGGTGGTGGGCTGAGAGGACCTGTGGGGAGGGCAGGAGGAGTCATCACCGCCTTCCCCAAAATCAAACCATGAATTCCCAACATGGAGCGGCAGGTGACAGGGGGCAGCATGCTGCTGTGCTAAGGGTTCCTGGGCTTTGGGAAGGGAGATGGGCCCACGCAGGGCCTCTGGACCCAGCCTGACAGTCTGTGCGGACACGGGGCCCCTAGCTTGCTACCTGCCTGCCCTCTCTGTCCCTCTCTCCCTTCCAGGATTCCCTATTGATACAGAGAAGACAGATCTGGGTTTGAGTCTCGGCCTCATCATCTCTTTAGAGCCTGAGAGCTGAAGGCCAGAGATGGTCATCTGGTCATCTGGTCACCTGCTTCCAGTTTCCTTCCCCATCCTACCCTCATCTGGGGTCCTCCACAACTCTCAGGGCACACACCAGCCTGCTAGCACCATGTGGTCCTAGTGGCCCACCCCCAGCTGGATGGTGAGCTTGCACAAGTCCAGCCCCTCCCAGGCTCTAGTCTTCATGGAAGAGGTAAAGAGGTAAGTCCTGGACAATACAACATGTTGCTTCTTCACTAAACTACACGGTTGCCAAGGGGTACTTCCGTAAGAGCTGGTGACATCCTGTCACCCGAGTTTCAGGTGGCAGCGAAGACACCAGTTATCCAAGTATATCCTGTGCTGTCTCCCCTGCCTCCCCCAGGCAAAACCACATTCCCCGAGTACCCTCGGGGGGATGCACAGAAGAGTAGTCAGCCAAGTGCGTGAGGATGTGGCTTGTGGGAGTGCATGTGAGCAAGTATGAGCTGGGGCAGGGGGGAGAGGGTGTGCTTTTGGTCCTTCACAGGGTCTGGGTGCAAGTGTGTCCCCAACACCCAAGACCCACCCTCCCCCAAACACCCTGTCCTCTGCCTTCCACCCTGACCCTCCCTAGATCTGTACTGTTCTAAAGCCAAAAAGGGAAACACAATTCCAAGGACAGTGGTGGATTTTCTGTATCAAGTGTCTACCCTGGGTCAGACCTGGGCCTATATGCGCCAGGACTCACGAAGATCCACTATAGTCCTTCAAGGAAGGGTGGACATTCCCTATTTTACTGATAAGGACACAAAGCTCACTGAGTGACTAATGAGGTCACACAGGTCATGGAAGAGCAAGGATTTGAACCCAGATCCCTACCTCTGAGCACTCCAGCACTTCCAAACTCTGAGCACCAGCCCAGGATACAAACTCACACCCCTTGGAAGCCTGGGTGGCTCAGTCAGTTAAGCATCCGACTCCTGATTTTGGCTCAGGTCATGATCTCAGGGTCGGGGGACCGAGCCCCACATCAGGCTCCGCACTCAGCGTGGAGTCTGCCTGAAATTCTCTCTCCCTCTGCCCCTCCCCCTGCTCATGTGCATGCTCTCTCTAAATAAATAAATAAATCTTAAAAAAAAAGAAAAGAAAAGAAACTCACATCCCTTTCCTTTAACCGCTGCACACAGAAAAGGACCAAGGTGCCCAGAGAAGGACACAATACGCAAGCGTCCAACAGTCCTGGCCTCCAGGCCTGGCTCCATCACTCCGGAGCTGGGTGACACCAGGCAAATGACTTCATGACCTCACATCCCTCAGCCTCAGTTCCCTCATCTGTGCAATGGAGCAACTCGTGGTACCTCCCCTCGGGGTCACTGTGAGAAGTGGGGAAAATGACAAGGGAACACGCCTTCCAGCCTGCAGAGCCCGGCCATGCGGGGTTGGGGGGAGCGGGGGGGCCGTGAGTCCCTGCGCCTGAGGGCCCAGAAGGCTGGGGCTGGCTCTGCCCCACGCATGGTTTCCACACCAGGACACGGGAAGGGAAGACGCCAAGCCTAGCCGGCAAGTGACTGCCACATCAAGGTGTGCTGATACCTCTAACGGAGCAGCAAAAGGGAAAAGTCTTTGGGCTCAGAGGGAAAAAGCCACACTGAGAGGCTCTGGGAGGGCGAGGTGGGGGGCAACAGCTCTCCTCCTCATAGCCAGGAGCGCACGCTCGCGCTCTGACGTCAGACGGGCTGAGTCTCAATCTTGGCTCCACCATTTATTGGCCTTTGGAGCTTGGCTGAGTGACTTCCCCTCTCTGAGCCTCCATTTTCTTGACTGTGAAATGGGGTGATCAAAGTCAGCTTCAGGGCTGTCTTGAGGATTAAAAAAATCACCAACGTGAGACCAGAAGCACAGGCAGGTGGCTACCTTATTATGAGTCATCGTTCCCTAAGGCCCCTGAAGGCTCAGCCCCAGTGGCAGGTCTCCACCTCAGCTGCAGTTGACTGGAGTTGGGGTCACCCAGGGGTCAGCGTCCTGGCCCTCCCTATAGGCTGGAGACCCTCTCCCAGGGGCCCCCACCACACCCAGGGGAGGGACCCTGAACCCACTCTCAGCCTGGGCTTCCCTTTCCTCCTCGCTGCCCAAGGCTGATTCAGAGCCTGAAGCTCCCAACCACCACTTGGGGGCGCCTGTTAAAATGCAGGTATCCAGGTTCTGCCCCTGGTCCCCTGCTCTGAGATCTTGAGGGGGCCTAAGAATGTCTTTTGCAAGCATTTTTATGACACACAGACAGGTGGGAGAATCAGCTGCCCTGGGAAAAGACCCATTCCTTAGCCTGGCACCTGAGGCTCCCCCTGACCCAGACTCAGCCCAGCTTCCCAGCTTCACCCCCTACCCTGTCCTCCATACCCCTCAACTCCAGTCTCACCGAGCATTTTGCTGTTCTACAAATACACCAATTTCTTGCATGCCTCTGTGCCTTTGCAGCTGTTCTTCCCCCTACCTGGAACTCCCTCTCTCACTGTCCTTGGAGACTACTCAATTTCTACTGACCCTTCAAGACCCAGCTCAAAGGTCAGCCTCTGGGGGGAACAGCTGGTCATTCATAGCTCACCCAGAGCCCCAATATCGCACTCATGGGGACAGCCAGGCCTGTGCCCTTTCTGTTCCCTCTACCCAAAACCCTCTTCCCCCTGCTCCCTGTAGGGTTGGCTCCTCATCCGTTGGGCCTTGGCACAAATATCACCTTTCGACCACACCACCTCCAGGAAGCCCTCCTGGTTTTCTCTATCACAGCAGCCTGCTTTTCTTCACAGCACAGAATCTGAACATCAAAATGTGAGCCCCTAAGTTCAGGGGCTTTGTCTAGCTGGTGCTCTCATGGCCAGCTTCTCCCACTCAGCCCCAGTCCCAAGAAAGAATGGGACACAGCTGGCCATAAAAACTGCTGAATGAATGGATGGATGCAATCGTCCACCTCCGCTATAGACCATGAGTTCCCAGGGGAAGAGACCGTGGCTACTACTTCTCCCTGTCTACTAATTCTCCGTGCCTCCAGTGGCCCACAGAGCTCCGGACCGAGAAGCACATGGTAACAAGCTGGATGGGGAAGAAAAGGGATGCCAAACTGTGCGTGCTCAGCAAGGACACAGAGAGTCAGATGTTAAGGGTCACCACGTTCTGTCTCTGTAAAGTTGTTTAGGCTTGTAAGAAAAAGGTGTATGCCGGTGGGACCACGAAAATCAACAGCTAAAGTACATACGCCGTGTTTTGTCAATTCCAAGACATCATCAATTTTAAGATACAGCATTCTTTTGTGTCTCCAAGAGAGAGAAAAAAAACCAACATAGCAATTAAATTATGACACACCACAGGCTGTAACATGAGAGATATTAACATGTAAAAATAAAAACGGTGCCAACCTAAGGGTTGAGGAAGCACGGTGTGCGTGTGCACACGTGAGGCTGTGTTTATCTGGCCTCACACTAGACTCTCTCTCCCCCGGCCAGCTTGCTCCAGGCCCCATGGCTGCAGGGCTGGCTGTCTCCTGTTTCTGCCCCCTCCCTCACAGGATGGGACCCCCACGTGGCCCCCAGGCTGAGCCACCGAGAGGGGAGCAGCTGAGTGATCGGATACCTAGAACGAGGGAGGCTGGATGCTCTCCCGGTCCGTGAGGCTCCAGGAAGGGGGCCCGCGGGGTCACAGAGCAGCACCCCAGGCCAGGTAGCGATGGTGACGCAGAGATAGTTACCGTGACCCGGAACGGCGTAGCGGCCGAGGGCTCCATGCTGGGGCTCTTCTCCGACAGGCTGCCGGGTAGACTGCGCCGGGAGCCTGGCCTTTCCTGGGGCGACTCTGTCAACAGAGGGAGACAGAGCTCGGTGAGGACGGGCAATTGAGGCCACTCAGTCAGGCCCTCCTGTCATTCCCATCCTGGCCAGGACAGCAGACAACTGGTCCCCATAAAATAGTACAGTCTCCGTGGAAAACAGTTTTGCGGTTCCCCCAGAAAGTGAAAGACAGAATTACCGCATGACCCAGTGATTCCACTTCTGGGTATATACCCCAAAACCTTGAAAATAGGGACAGAGACACATACACAGACTTGTATGCAAATGTGCAAGGCAGCATTATTCTTAACAGCCAGAAGGTGGAAGCAAGCCAAGTGTCCATCCACAGATGAGTGGACGCATGCAGTGTGGGAGAGCCATACAACGGAACGTGGTTCCCTCACAAAAAGGAACAAAAGTTCTGATACACGCTGCAATGTGGACGAACCTGGAAAACACGCTGAGCAACAAAAGCGAGATACAAATATTGTATGAGTCCACTTACATGAAACACCTAGAATTGGCGAATTCATAGAGATGGAAAGTAGACTGGAGGTAACCAGGGGCTGAGGGTGGGCGGGATGGGGAGGGTATGGTTTAATGATAGGAGTTTCTGTTTGGAGTGATGGGAAGGAGTGGGAAACAGATAGTGATGATGGTCAGACAACACATAACGTACAGCACATAAATATACTCAATGCCATTAAATTGTACACTTAAAAATGATTCAAATGGCAAATTTTATGTAATATGTATATATACACCCCAATTTTTAAAAAGATTTTATTTATTTGAGACAGAGCGAGAGCACTGAGGGAGAGTAAGAGGGAGAAGCAGACTCCCCACCTAGCAGAGAGCCAGATGCAGGGCACGATCCCAGGACCCCGAGATCAGGACTGGAGCCAAAGGCAGATGCCCAACTGACTGAGCCACCCAGGCATCCCACCCCAATTAAAAAAAAAAAAAAAAAAGGTGTCCTAAAACATGTACTTCAAGTCATATATCTTGTGACATAATGAGCTCCCTGTTACTGGAGGTATACAAGTAGTCCCTGCAAACATGAGAATCTGTGATCTCTGGGTTCTAATTCAGACCTTCTTTTCCCGAGGCCTTAAACTTGATGGAAGTGCAAGGGCTGGCTGTTTCCAGGACCAAGGGTGGCAGCCCGCTGGTTATTCTGTGTAGCCATGGGGGGCCCAGGGCAGCCACAGCAGCCCACAGTTCAAGAGAAGCTGGAAATCTCAGTTTTTTAAAATATGAAATATTCTGATTTTTAAATGGTGACAGCTCATTTAAAACTCATAGCCATGATCTGAGCATGTCTGTTCAGAACCTCCCAGGTCAGTGCAAGCTGGTCTCTTTCCCAGCTGTTCCCCCACACCATGCTCGCCATGTTCAGCACCGGGTGCCTCTTTTCCAGGGCTCTGGCTGGGACCCCCCACAGAGATCTCTGAGCCCAATCCCATCCTGCAGGCCCTGGAGGAGACGTGTGGCAACCTCTCTGTCCCCCGCTGTTGGCCCCCTTCTGGCTCCTACAGCGACAGCCTGGCCAAGCCTCCTTATCAAAGTTCCCACGTGGGGGGGTGCTCAGGAAAGGCCTGTTGGTTCGCAAGGAAGAGAAAGGATAGGGTGGAGATTTCCCTGCTATGCGTGCACACACAGGTGTAGTCAGGCGCATGCCCAGCAAACACACATGCACTTCCACATCTATGCGTGTGCCCACGCAGACTCATCCCCAGGGACACGTCCATGTGAGGACGGATGGACGTGTGCACATGTGCACATGCACAGGACAGATGACCAGGAGCAGGCTTTCCCAGAAGGCAGAAGGGGCTACTGGGGACAATGTCTACCCCTTCCAGTCCATTCCCTCATTGCAGCCAGACTGAACAGGGGTCTTCAGCTGTGTGGAAGGCCAGAGTTGAGCCTGTCACCCCCCCAGGACGGGCTCAGTATAGCAGGAAAGCCACGGAAACCGGCTTGGGGATAGCTGACCACCAGGCAGACCTAAGGCAGGGGCTGATACCAGGTCTGGATGTGCACTAGCCAGCCCTGGGCCACCTCCTCCAGAAAAGTTTCCTCCACTCGGCTCCTCCTCAGCCCAGTGACCACGATCTCTGAGGGCCTCGGTGCCTTGCTTGTGGTGCTTCCTCCTGAGAACCTTCCACCCTCCTCCTCCATGGTCCCTGCTAGTCACACTCTAGAGGACACCCACTCTTTCTGGAGGTTTCCCTAGGAAATCTCTTCTTGTGCTCCCCAGTCTACCTTCACCTCTCCCCCCAACCCCCGGCACCCCACCCCCATCACCTCCACCTGGGTGTCCACCATAACCACTGTGTCCTACCCATGTGTGAGGCACTGTGCTCAGCCTCCAGAAGCCCTTCAAGAACTTCCCTCCCTCCCCCAACACACACACACACACACACACACACACACACACACACAGCTCCATCAGCCCTTCCTGGGCAGGTGGGCCATCGTGGCTTCAAGCAAGACATACATGGAGTCACCTGCAGGGCATGAGGAGCCCAGCAAGGCTGCCTCTCTTCTGAGACCAAGACTGATACTCCCCACCCCCCGACCTGTGCAGAATACCTCCTCTTGCCTCCTAGGTCTGAGCCAGGAGACTCTCAGGGGTTGCTTGATCCAACCACCCGTTTTACAGACGAGGAAACTGAGAGGAACTCGTCCATCAGCCACTAACCCAATAGGTTTAGAGCAAAGACACTCTCAGGTGCTCCCAAAATAGCCTTAAACTTCAATTCAGTAGCCCTGGCCATGCCTCATCCCTGTCAGAAGGCAGAAAGGCAGTGAGGAGGCTGCAGGGCAGGAAAGGATAGGAGTTGGCTCTCCCTCCTGGAGAGAGTGGCCAGTTCTTCTCCCTGACCTCTGGAGCCTCCCAGTGCATGCCCAGAGCAGGGCCCTGCCCTCCAGAGGAAACTGAAGGGGAACCTTTGTACCTTTCCAGGTAGCTTCCACTGGCCCCGCCTCCATTCTCCACTCTTCTCCACCCTGCCTTCTGTTCCAGTGGGCTGACCTGTGTGGCCTCCACCAACCGAGCTTCTGGGCCCCCCAGCTTCCATGGGGTTAGGCCAGTGCAGGGGTGGGGGGAGAGCTGGTGCAGAGATCAGGGGAGGGAGAGTTGCCCAGGCTGGCTGCCTCCCTCCCTCCCTCCGCTGACAGTCCCAGCTACTATCAAGATGAACCTGTCTCCTGAGCTCTGGCACACCTCCCCTCCCTAAGCCTCGGTAGATCATCCCTGGTTGTCACTAGCTCTGGGGTCCTGCACTCCTCCTCATGATTCCCCACACCCGCCCACACCTCAAATCATCCTAGCGTAAGTCCCATCTGCTTCCTGTGGGACCCTGACTGATCCACCAGGCGGGATCCCAGCTGCTCAAGACCCAGCCCCTCCTCCACAGAGGGGGAAGGATGGGGGGTGGGGGGCCGCCAGGAAAGAAGCCGTGTGGTGCTTGCGGTCCTCAGGGCAGGGTCCGGGCCAGGCCGGGCTCTCTCCCCATTCGACACTCCAAACAGGCTTTCCCAAGCCTGCCACAGGCTCAAAACACAAAGTTAACAATAACCTCGTGGATCACTGAGCTCTGAGTCAGCATCTCTCTACCTTCTCTTCATTACCATTTCCCCTGGAGAGGGGTCTTTTTAGACATTTTTTCCCTAGTTCCCCCCCCCATAAAACTTTAATACCACGTATCCAGTAGCTATCTTTATGTCCTGTACGTATATTGGGCTTCATACAGAGAAAGAGTGAGAAATTTTTGCCCCCTCCCCTCCAAGAACCAATTTTTTTCGTCCACTTGGGGCACTATCGCCCCGACTGAGAAGGAAAGTTCTGGACCCATTCAAATAGAATCCGCACATGACAACCTGGACAGCTGTGGTGAGCTCCATTTTCCAGATGAGTTCTCAGAGGCAAAAATGACTTCCTCTAAAGTTCCGCCCGGTAGGAAGTAAGAGTGCATGCCGAAGCTCTTTAAACTGCCCCCCTGCCCCAAACCCAAACTGAGGACCTCACAGAAGGCTGAGGGTGCCTGGAGCCTGGGGCAGGGGGAGGAACGCAAGGTGGGCACTAGGAGACGGATTCAACCTGGCCTCTGCTGTGTGACTCCAGGCCAGCCTCTTTCCGTCTCGGAGCTCCTGATTTATCAGCAATCCAATGAGTCAGGGGGGTTAGAGCAGTGACTGTCTCAATCCTCAGCCACCAAAACAAAAGCAAAGACAAAAAAACAAACCCTCTTTATTTTACAGAGGCAAAGAATATGGAAAGTTGACTGTCTCCCCTCCCATCCTCATTCTGCCTGCAGGGATTTAGCCTGAGTCCTTGACAAAAACATAGATGCCTATGCCGATTTAGCAGTACTTTTTTTCTAATTTGGGGGAGCAGACACTGGGAGGCTCAGGCCCTGTGCTCCCCAAAGGTCTAAGCAACACAGCTGGGTAAGTGACCTAATACTGTGCAGCATGAAGCTGGCATCCCTAGTCTTGCAGCACTGATCCAGGAGTATCCCCTCAGCTCAGACTCCTTCCGTGACCTCCACATGACCTCGGGGCTCCCAACCTGCAAAACTAGGCCATAGGACGAGCCAATCCTGGATCCCCTTTCCACCACGAGGTCAAAAGAGTCTCCATTTTCCCGGGAACGCCAGGCTGTCTTCCCATTCCTGGAAGCCACAGCCAGAGAAATGCATTTTAACCTTGATGTGTTTGCAAAAAAATAAATAAAATAAAATCAGTTTCATTCAAATGCTGCTGGCTTGGTTGCCATGGATACCACCTAATCATGAAGGATGACTGTTACTTGTTCCCATGGAAACACGGAGGCCTGAGGAACATCCTGTAATTTCAGACAAGACACCAAATTTCAGTTGTCGGGTTGCACTGCCCAGATCTTAATGCTTAAAAACAGGGAGAGGCAGCAACCTCTAATATTGGTGTCAGGAGAAAAGAAGTCAGCACAAGTATAGAAAAAGGAGATGGGAGACAGGGGTTTATGTGTGCTGGACCTCA